TTTCCGTCTTGAAGACACATCATAACACTGAGGCACAAGCACGGTTTTTATATTTTGACTCATATTTATTTTTCGCATCGATTAATATGGATTTTCAATATTCCCAAGTTTTCGAAAAACACGTGATGCACGTAACCAGAGATAAACATAGATAAATACAAGCAGCAGTTGTCTCCTGCTCCAATGGCAATCATGGAAAAGTTCTGAATTGTTTATTTGAGTAATATAGAAATTTTATTAATATTGCCCAATAAAATTATAACGTTGACGCACTTAAAAATAAAAGTTCATATAAACTCTTGTACGTGCCCTTACTTTTCTGCTGCGGGCACGCAAAATTTATTTTCGATAAATTTTGTTAATTTGTTAATCAAAACACCATATTTTCAGTATTTCATAAGGGTCTCGGGTTTTAGTAGTAAGAAGATTTACTTTTACATGCCCTTACTTTTCTGCTGCAGGCACGCAAAATTTATATTCAACCAATTTGGAATATACCGTAGATATACATTCATGTATATTACCGGAATATTTGTTTTCAACATACTAGGTATATTCACCTGCACATATACACAATATGTACATACCTGGCATGTTCATCTGCACATATACCCAATATGTACATATATGTACATACCTAGGATATACTTTTTATGAACTTTGATGAATATCCATGCATGTATATTCCACGAACATTCATGTTAGGAATGTTCAACCATGTACATTCCCACGATATTCCCGCAATGTTCTGTATATTTTTTGAACATTCTGGGATATTCATAGAATATCAAATGCTATCTGGGTAGGGGAGTTTTAGGCCATACTAGCTCATGGGGGCTGGCGCATCCGGAGCTGTTAACCCCCTGCGACCAGCTGAAGACTTCCGGTCCAATGGACCCCAGTAGAGAGGAAACTTTCGAGTTCCTGCAAAGCCTCTTCAGCGAGCTTCGGGGAGTCTTTAAGGACGAGTTTATCCATCTGGGCGGCGATGAAGTCGACTTCAGTTGCTGGTAAATTGAGGCCCTGCAACCAAGTGTGGGAGTTGAGAGGGATTTTGGATTCCAGGAGGCAAAGCGAGAACATCAGCAACTTGATGAAGGACCTCAACATCAGCAGCTACGAGGGCGTGGAAAGCTACTACGTCCAGAAAGTAGTGGATATGGCAGAAGGTCTGGACTATAAGCAGATCGTTTGGGAGGAGGTTTTTTCCAATGGAGTCCATCTGGGCAACCACACGCTGGTTCACGTCTGGAAATCCTGGACAGACACCATAAAAGAAGTCACTTCCGCAGGAAAACAGGCTCTGCTATCAGCCTGTTGGTACTTGGACCAGCTGGCCTCTGGAGGAGACTGGACGGACTTCTACCTGTGCGATCCAATGGATTTCGATGGAACGCCTGAGCAACAAGAGAGGGTTTTAGGGGGCGAGGCCTGCATGTGGGGCGAAGTGGTCAATGAGTACAATGTCATATCCAGGACTTGGCCCAGGGCGTCTGCCACTGCCGAGAAGCTTTGGTCGGCACCTTCGGGTACCTACAAACTGGACGAACCATCCAGCCGATTGGAGGAGCACACGTGCAGAATGAATAGGAGGGGAATTGGGGCTCAGCCTCCAAATGGGGCCGGATTTTGCGACTAGAGTTTCTCCTGAAAGGAGGCGTAGGAGTATTTTTGTTTGGCAAGCAATAGGCAAGAGTTTACGACAGGAATTGTTGTTTTTTTGCGTTTTTTGCAACAAAGCTTTCAAAACTTCTCAAAGTCTTCACATTTATGCAATTTTTTCAAGCTTTTAGAACGCCTGATTTCTGAAAAAAAGGCATTTTTTTATGAAAAGAACTGAGGTTTTCGCTTGTGATTTTCCAAAGTTCTTGACGTGAAGACTTTGGTGAACTTTTCGACTTTCCTGCAAATGTTTGTATCCGTTGCAGGCAGGGGCGGGGCGGATCCA